TTACTTCTCTACCATTTGCATATTATTATCGGTTTCCTTTAATGGTGAAAAAAGAAGAAAGAATATATAAGTTGATATGTAAACCGGTTATAAAGATATCACGTACGGCAAGGATAGCCGAGCGTTTTCCCAGGATACGACGAAAAGTCATAGCCGACTTCCGGCTCCTTTTTCCACGATGAATCACGCTCTAGCAGCGGCAACAGCCTCAATACCGAATCACTAGTCGCATCTACATACTTACGTGCAACTATATACATGGCTACCTGTTTCTTCTTTCTCGTTCGCCGCGACCGTTTTCCGCGATGATTAATATATGCGCATATACATAGGACGCGACGAGATTGCTGTGCTTGCGCACACTGCGTGGCGAAACTGAACGCGTACGAAAGAAGGACAGATGACCAAACGAGAGGAACGTTAGACGAGGTTGTTCCATCGGAACGGAGAAATAGAGAAAGAAACCAGGGGATAAGGGGTAAAAGAAGTGGCTAGATGTAGTCTCGATAGTGCGAAACGAGGTAAGAGAGATTATTTTTCGAGGGAATCGAACGGAGAAAGACGGATTGCAGAGTAGAAAGAAAGGAGTTGACGCGCTGGTAGACTCGTCGGAGCGAGAGAAAGAGAAGGAGACGAAAGAGGAGCACGAGGCCGAGAAGGAACGATGAGCGGGCAGGAGAACCGCGTGGTGCGGAGAGAGAGGCGAGAGAAGGTGGAGGTATGCTGCGCAGCCGTGGGAACCGACTGCCGCGAGTGAGCGAGCCTCTCTCTTTCTTTCTTTATCTTTGACCGGTTTCTTCACGTTCTCTCTCCTTCTCGATCGCCTCGTCCATTCTATCCTCGTTTCTCTGTCTGTCAAACACGGAACGAGCAGAGGTTGTTTCGCTTCCTTTTCATCATTCAGGTTCTTCTTGTGTGTACGTATATGTATATATATATATATATATCCATACTATGGCATGCTTTTGCAGTACCTCTTTTCTTCCCTTTTCCTTTTCTCACTCTTAACGTTACCTTACGGTGCGCTTTTTACATCCCCATCTTTTTCTTCCTTCCTTTTCTTTCCTCGTTTCTTTTTTAGACAGAATATATATAATATATATATATATATATATATATGCGTATGTGTATGACGCGAGTATATGTATATTGGAAATACACCTTTCTCTCTCTTTTCTCCTTGTCTTTCTTCTCGTTCCTTTTCATTCAAACCTTCGATCTATCTTTTTCTCTCCTCGTCTTTCCTTTGCTCAACTTTATATCGTCTTCTCCTCTCGTTTCACCGTGGCAAACTGCTAACCGGCCACCGAACACACCCAACACATTGTTCTTAGGATGCCTACGCGGGGCTTTTTCAGCTTTTTGTCGGCTTAATTCCGATCCCCGTAATAAATTAGCGGCCGATCACGGTGGCATTTGTCTCCTCGACAATTTATTTCCTTCTCCCCTTGGGTCGAGGCCCCCTCTCCGTCCTTCGCCTTCGAGGTCCGTTCCATCGTTCCCTTCTTTCTGGCCTTCGTTGTGCCTTGCTTTCGTCCTTGCCGCGAGAGAAAAGGGCGGTCTTGCCTCTTCTTCCTTTAAACTCTTCCCTCTTCTTTCAGCCGTCTACACCTTCCGCTTCATCCTC